CTGCCTTGCAAGCTCAAGGTCCTGAGTTCGATCCCCAGTACCAAAAAAAAAATTAAAAAGGGCTCAAGATGTAGTGAAGTGTGAAGGCCCTGGGTTCAATCCCTAGTACTGCCCAAAAAAATTAAATAAGAGTTACATGGGAATCAGGAGACTGTAGCTAGGCCCACTGGTTAGAAGTAGGACACCCGTGCTCCTGAAAGAAGAGTGATGTGAAAGGTTCCCTAAGGCGATACATGTATTTTGAAAAAAGCAATTACGTAGAGACATGGGAGGGCCTAAAGACCAATGCTTGAGCCACACTGCTGTGACACTGATGGAATCTAGTAGCACTAATATCTGGAGAGGTGGGTTTGTTTTTTTTTGGTACCGGGGATTGAACTCGGGACCTTGCACTTGCAATGTAGGCAGCAGAACCACTGAGCTAAATCCCTGGCCTGAGAGCTGGTTTTTGACTAGGGTCCGACTGATGAAGGCAAGCCAAAGGGCAAGAGACAGAGTAATAGAAATGGAGAGTGAGAGAAAGAGACAGAATTCTGTACATATCTGCAAGCTATAATCCCAAAGCCACTATTAAAGAAAAAAGCTAAACAGACATCTAACAAAATCCATGAAAAGATGGCATACCTTATTTTAAAAGGCATCCTTTAAGAAAAAAGGGAATACAAGGCTGTACTTTTTGACAAAATTAATTACCAATGATAATAATGAAAATAAATTTTTTTAAAAGTTACTCTGAATACTTGGAAGATAGGTAGCTAAAGACAGGGGCCCCGTGTCACGTCTGGTGAAGAAGAAATGATGTTACTGAATAATTTCAACCACAATTTTTTCCTAATATATGTAGTTTATGTATATGTATGTGTGTGTGTGTGTGTGTCTGTGTGTGTGTGTATATCCCAATGTATGTTAGGCACTGTTTTAGGCTCTAGGAGTAAAACAGTGATGGGTAAAAACTCTGTCTTTGTGGAATTTATATTTTAGTGGGGGTAAACTGCATACTGCTATCAAAAGCCACAACAGATCCCAGGATCCTAGGGCAGAGAAGCTGAGCCGGTCCCAGCACCCGAAAGGAAGCTCCCCGCCTCCATCCCAGGCTCCTAGGGCAGAGAAGCTCAGCCGGTCCCAGCACCCGGAAGGAAGCTCCCCCGCCACCATCCCATGCTCCTAGGGCAGAGAAGGTGAGCCACATGGGCGCCAGAAGCACCCCACCCCACCATGGAAATGAGAAGACACATAAACAAGCCTCAAAAACAGACTTCCAGATCACCTACAGCAACCCCAAAGGGAAAC